ACTTCCCCAGGGCAGGATATGTTTCTTGTTTGTATCTTTAAACACATAAGCACCAGCACAAGAACTGGTGCATACGGTAGGCCTTAACCACTGAACTGATGGAGCAGACACACTTGAATTTAAATAGATCTCAATTTTAAAACACGAGATGCACTATATTTCTTGAGAAAAGATGGTCGAATATTTTTGATAACTTATTTCCTATTGTGAATACGTGTTTTCTTATTGTACATGATTTAGAAAATAGCACAAACTGTAAAGTGTTATTTAAAAATAATTTGTGACCTCACTCTCTAGACGCAACCATGGCTAACAATTTTCTCCTAGTATTTATTTTTAAGTGTGTTTATATGTGTATATAGTTTCCTATCTTCCTGTTTAAAAAAAATTATCAAAAAGAAGCTCTAATCATTAAAAGTTCTGTTGAGTTGCTGACTTTTAAAAATAGACTTTTTTTTTTAGAGCAGTTTTAGGTTCACAGAAAAATTGAGAAGAAAGAACAGACAGTACCCGTTTACCCCCACCCCACCCCATGGGACTCCTCCACTAGCAACACACTGCACAACATTTGCTACAATTTGGTACATTTGTTACAATTGAGAACCTACATCGACACATTCTTATATCCCAAAGTCCATAGTTTTTATTAGCGGGCCATTCTTGTTGATGTATATTGTATGGATTTGTGCAAATGTATGGCATGTATCCACTGTTATAATATCACACAGAGTAGTTTTACTGCCCCCACAAAATCCACTGCCCTTAAAAATCCTCCACCTATTCATTTCTTCCTCCCCCTTCCCCCCTGGCAACCACTGATCTTTTTACTTTCTCAATAGGTTTTTTCTAGAATGTCATATAGTTGGAATTGTACGATATGTAGCTTTTCAGATTGGCCTCTTTCACTTAGTAATATGTCCATAAATGTCCTCCATGTCTTCATGGCATGATAGTTCATTTTTATTTAGCACTGAATAACATTGCATTGTCTGGATGTACTGCATTTTATTTATCCACTCACTGAAGGACACCTCGGTTGCCTCCAAGTTTTGGCTGTTATGAATAAAGCCGCTATAAACATTCATATGCAGGTTTTTGTGTGAACCTGTTTTCAAATCATTTGGGTAAATACCAAGGGAGATGATATAGTTTGAATATATGTCTCAGCCAAATATCATGTTGAAATACGATCCCCGATGTTGAAGGTGGGCCTAGTGGGAGATGTTTGGGTCACTGGGTGGATCCCTCGTTGGTGCTGTCCTCCTGATAGTGAGTGAGTTCTTGCATGATCTGGTAATTTAAAAGTGTGTGGCACCTCCCCCTCCCTTGCTCCTGCTCTCCCCGTGTGATGTGCCTGCTTCTGCTTCACTTTTCTTAATAAGTAAAAGCTCCCTGTAGGCCTTCCCAGAAGCTGAGCATGTGTCAGGGCCATGCTTATACATCCTGCAGAACTGTGAGCCAATTAATCTGCTTTTCTTTATAAATCACCAGTCTCAGGTATTTCTTCATGGCAATGCAAGAATTGCTTAATACAAAGGAGTTGCTGACTTTCTGCTATTAGCCTTATTTCCCTCATAGTTAAAGAGTTAAAGAAGAAAATATTCATGCTTACCATCTATAATGTTTTGTGATTTTATAAAAACATTCATATACCTCCTTTTTGAACTTCATTGTAGATTGAGAAGTGTACTCTATGGAGAAATTAAGGCTCAGAGAGTAAAGTAAAGAACTCAGAGTCACAGAGCTAGGATGAAGCAGAGACGCAACTCAAATTCAGTTCTAAGTGTACCAAAAACCATTTCATCAGAGCTGCTTCATAGTAATAGAGGCCGCAGAAGGAAAAAAAGCGATATAGTCTGGTTCTCCTCCTGGAGAAACTCAAAAGGAAGAAGTTAGATTTCAGCTTGATATCAGGAAATTGCATCTGAGGAGGTTGGAAAGGTCTTTGAAAGTCACTCATTTAAAATTTTTTAAAAATTTATATATACTGAACATCTGCTCGGAGATTACATGTCAAGCACTGCCACAGAGTTGTGAATTCAGAGATTAATTAGAGTCAGGATTCAAGTACTTCATACTGGAATGTAGTGGAGTCCTTACTTGAAAGCCCTTTAGTATAAAAAGGGTTTGTGTATAATATGTATTTATTCATATGCATGGAATACTGTATTATATATTGTGTTCACTATCAAACATAATAAAAACTATCAAGTTTAGAAAGATGAGACAGGCAATAAATATACATGAAGGTTCTAGTATTTTCTTCGTGCTCTCTGATGTCTCATGTAGACAGGTACCACTGTGGAGCCCACTGATCTAGACATTAAGAAGACACAGAAGTGAGCACAGGACACAGTATGGGAAGAGAGAGGGTGGCCCCCTGAGGATGGGAGGGGTCAAGGGAATGACTTAGAGGAGACTTCAAGAAGAGATGATTCCCGCACTGAAGAATAACAAGACACTCATCTATGTTCCAGGGTCAGAAAGGTAGCATGGCATAGTGGAAAGAGTTGAGAAGCAGAGGATAAGGGTCAGCTCTCCAGTTTGGGGGCCCTGTGGCCCTGCCCAAGTCATTGTCCTTTCTTTCTTTTTTTTTTTTTTTTTTGAGATGGAGTCTCGCTCTGTCGCCCAGGTTGAAGTGCAGTGGCCGGATCTCAGCTCACTGCAAGCTTCGCCTCCTGGGCTCATGCCATTCTCCTGCCTCAGCCCCCAGAGTAGCTGGGACTACAGGCACCGGCCACCTCACCCAGCTAGTTTTTTGTACTTTTTAGTAGAGACGGGGTTTCACCGTGTTAGCCAGGATGGTCTCGATCTCCTGACCTTGTGATCCGCCCGTCTCGGCCTCCCAAAGTGCTGGGATTACAGGCTTGAGCCACTGCACCCCACCGTCACTGTCCTTTCTAAGGCTTATATTCTCCAGTGTTCAGTGGAGGTAATAAGACCTGCCTCCAAGAGTTGTTGCAAAGATAACATGAGACAGGCTTGGCCAAAGTGCCCCATTGACTGTGTAGGGCTCTGCAGGGCTGTCTTCTTATTTTCAGATATTTGGTACCTGCCCCTTGGTACCTGGGTACCTGCCATCTGTACCATATGCTGTGTAGAGGGTAAATGTTCATTGACAATGGTGAATACTCTAGAGAAAAATATTAATAATAAAAAAGCAAGGTTTGACCCAAATGTCCATGAATCAAAAAAATATGAATGAATAATAAGCAAAATGTGATATCCTTACAATGGAATATTATCCAGCTGTAAAATGAATGAAGTATGATACATATTTCAACATGGATAAACCCTGAAGACATTATGCTATGTGTAAGAAGCCAGCCACAAAAGGCCACATCTTCTATAATTGAATTCGTAGGAAATGTCCAGAATAGGCAAATCTGTACTGACAAAGACCGCTAGGTAGTTGGCAGGGGTTGAAGGGTGATTAGTTAATGGGTAGAGGGTTTCCTTTTGGGATGATGGAAATGATCTGAAACCAGATGGTAGTGAGGGCTGCACAACATGAATGTATAAAATGCTGCTAACGGCAAATTTTACGTTATGTGTATTTTACCACACAAATAACGAGCAATGTCTGAGCACTTACTGTATGAGGTGCTGTGAGGACACGGCTTGCCTTCAGTCCTAGGAAATGTGTGGTCTCGATGCGTGAAGCAATACATGCTGAAAGTAACTGCCTTCAAAGAGCTGCTGAGATGAGAGAACTCATGAGAGCTCAAAGGAGGCAGAGGTCAGTTTCGCTGGTGAAATGTACCCAGCCAACTGGCCAGGAACTGAGCCAGGCTCTGAGAATGTCCAGGTGGTTAAAAAGAGTTTGGACAGGAAAGGCATTTTAGAAAAGGAAGGGCTTGAATTGGGCCCTGAAAGAAGGGACGGATTTGAATGGGCACAGAGTGGGTCAAACTGTGTGCATGCAGGCACGGGAGCCCTATGTCTGGCTGAGGGGAGAGGATATGAAATGCCTGGCCTGTAGCTTTGGGACAGGGCAGGGATGCTGGCAGATAAGGGAGGCAGGGGCATCGAGGAGAAGACTCTGATGCCTCCATTCTTTCCGGCGACTGTCCTGAGCCCCCATTCTCCACTGTAGCACAGCCTGAATAGTAAAAGGAGGAGCACAGTGAGCCTTGGAATTCGCTCCTGAAGAATTTCCTCTGAGCTACTTCAGCTGCCAGCTCGGAGAGAGAAGCTTGGTGTTTGAGTGATCAATAAACCGAACAAGGCCATGTGCAACAGGGGAGTTTAAAGGAGGTAATTAAACAAACTTCTCATGCAAGCACCCTTACGGGGATTAATTGAGATTTAAATAATTAAGCCTCGTTGGGTAGGCTAGAGGAGAAATACAAACGAAGAAGAGTGTTGCTGATGGCACTGAGGCCTGACCCGTGGCAGCCCGAGAGCTGCTGCGCAGGCACCAGCTGGGAACGGAGGCAGAGGAGTCAGGGCCGGCCCATGAGCGCTCAGGGCCCGCCCAGCCCCCTGCTCAAACCAGCAGCTCCTGTGTCCAGAGAACCTTGGCAGCACACATTTCCTGGGCCCGTTCCCTCTGTCTCCACAGTCACTTTTGAATCTGTCCTCCTGACTCCAAAGGCCATGCCCTGGTGCGCGACTTCGTCGTCTTTCTGTGGGATTCCTGTGACTGTCTCCCGGCCAGTTACCCACTTGACTCCCTCAGTCTTGCAAGAATTTAACTTCCTGGAACACAGCCCCATTTGCCCCGCCAAGCTTTGCCTCAGTCTGGCCTTCAAAGTCCTCTCCAATGTGTCCCCAGTGACTTTTCCAACTTTATTTCCCATTCGCCCTAGGCCTTTTGCTCCTGCACAAGTGAGCTCCCTGATCCCACTTTTCCCCTGCAGCCTCCTGCCTCTGTGCTATTGCACACCCTGGATAATATTCCCCTTTCCATAAGGCACACCCTGATCTCCCCTGACTAGACATGATTGTGTCCTACTTTGTAGGATATTCGTTTATGTGTGTGTCTCATCTCTTCTCAGATTTCCAGTTGCTTTGGCGAGATTGTACCTGCTTCACACCCTGAACTGTGAATGTCTTGTGATGGCTGTGTTTCAGAAAGAGGCCCGATCCCTTAGCCTAAACCCCGGAGAACAGATGTGCTTTGGAATTCAGAATTTGTCAGATCTTGGAAAGGTATGATGATGCATCTGTTCCATATCATGTAACAGCCCCAGTAGGTCTGGGGTAGTCCCCCGCTGTCAATCACATTAATAATTCTGCTGCAAAAGTAAGGATATTAGCATTAAAAGGGATAATTAAAGGCAGTACTTAGTTCAGGCCAGGTTTTGACCAAGTGAGTTGAGAAAAACTCAATTTGTTGTGCTTTTTTAAATTTTGAAATTGAGGATAAGGGATTGTGGACCTGTGTTCCCTTAGGAATTCCCTTCGGTTTCCTCCAGGGATGCTGCTGGAGAGAACAAAGAGCTTGTTTTTACACTTTCCCTGCATACTGCAGAGTACTTCAAACTTAGCTTACATCAAATAGATCTAACTATAAGTAGAGAGAGTTTAGCTGAACGGCGAATTGGAATGGTAAAGGTGTATATAACGTCTTAGTGACCCCAAGAATCCCTCATAGAGTCACCCTACATGGCTCATGTGCCCATCGGGGGTGGGGTCAGGGGCTCAGGTGCCCAGGGCAGTGCTGCAGCTCTAGCGTGTGACTTGAACCCAGTCTTGGGGGCCACATCTTCAAGCTATTTAGGCCGTTCCCTTTCAACACCACATTTATGATCAGCTTTGTCTGATAATACAGCCATTACACTTTAAAGAGCAAGCAGTCTGGAAAGGTTAGATAAAAGGGTAGGCGTGAGTGATTAAGAGAAAAAATACAAGTCCCTGGGTGAGACAGTAGAGATGTCGGTTTAGGTCTTAAAAGAAGAACAGCCTTAATATCGAGGAATCCTTGCTGGGCCCAGGTAACCTAGATACCACCTCTCAATGAAAATATAGATCTGTTTCCTTGCCAGGCCTCAGTAGCTTTCAAATCACAGCTTCTTGGATTCATTGCAGGTCATTAACTGCTGTGCTGTGACACAGGGAAGAAGGGAGAAGATTAAAGTAACAGCCAAGGCTGTTGAGAGAGAATCTGGCTGGTGTTTGTTGCTTGGAGTATGCTGTTAAATCATTATCACCTGTTAATTCTGGGTGTAACTTTGGGGTGGAAAATTATTATACAGATGGAAAAGATTTTTCAATTAAATCTAAGTCAGTGAGATTTTAAGCACCTAAGAGTTTGAGATGTGCTTCCTAGGGAGATTAGAACTTGGGTGAGCAAGGCCCTGAGGCAGGACCTGCTATGTAATTTGCAGTCCAGTGCAAAATGAAAACGACGGGCCCCTTTCAAAAATTAGTTCAGTTTCAAGGTGGTGACATTGCAGAATATTAAACCAAGTGCAGGATCCTCTGAGCATGGGGCCCTCTGTGACTTCCTGGGCCACATAGCTGTGAGGCTGGCCTGAGGCTTTAGAGGGACCAAGGTGTAGTGGGAAAATCAAGGAGCCGTATGCTGAGCTAGACAAACCTCAGTCAATTCTCAGTTTTGCATGTTACTGGTTGTTTGACCTTGGGCAGGTGAGGAAGGTACCTCTATTTCCTCCTTTGTGAAATGGAGCTAAAAATACCAGTCCTATGGTGGTATTGTAAAGATGAAATGAAATCAAGTTTGTAGCATGCTTAGCAGAGTATATGATATCTAGTAAAAGCCCAATAAGTCTTAGTGTTTCATAGCAGTGTTGCTGGTGCCCTGCCATGGCCACCTGTCCCTCTTTAGTACCTACCAGCTGACTTCCAAATGTTGGCACCTACATTGCTAGGCTGATGGCTTTTATCTTGCTGCTGACAGAGAAATAATCACCACCACTCTCCTTTGTCATCCCTCAACCACTGGCTGAGAGAGTGTGGAGTGTCACTACCCCAGCTCCCTTGGCCCTTGGGTGAGGTACCTCTGATCTGTGTGTCTTACCAGGGATCGCAGAGTTTTCCCAGTGGTATTAAGCCTCATGTCCCCCTGAGAGGTAACTGGCATGACAACACATTCCTTAATGGCCACTTTCTCTTCCCTGTGTCTTTTGCATTCCTCTACCAGGGCTCCTGTATCAGTGTGTTTTTCATACTGCTATAAAGGAATACCCGAGGTTAGGTAATTTCTAAAGAAAAGAACTTTCATTGGCTCACATTCTGCAAACTGTACAACAAGCATGGCACTGGCAACTGCTTTGGGTGAGGGCCTCAGGAAGCTTACAATCATGGAGGAAGGCCACAGGGAGCCAGCATGTCACACGGAGAGAGCAGGAGCGAGAAACAGAGAAAGGGGAGGTGCCACGCTCTTTTATACAAGATCTCACGTGAACTTAGAGTGAGAACTCACTCATCGCCAAGAGGATGGTGCTAAGTCATTCATGAGCAATCTGCCCTGAGAATCCAAAACACCTCCCACCAGGCTCTACCTCCAACACTGGAAATTACATTTCAACATGAGATTTGAAGAAGACAGATATCCAAACCGTATTATTCTGCCCCAGTCCCCAAAATCTTATGTCCTTCTCACATGGCAAAGTATGATCATCCCTTCTCAATAGTCTCCCAAAATCTTATCTTGTTCCAGCATCAACTCGATTCAAGAGCAGCTCCAAGTTCCAAGTCCAAAGACCAAAGTCTCATCTGGAGATAAGTTCCTTCCACCTATGAGCCTGTGAAATCAAAACCAAATTACTTACTTCCAAGATACAATGGTGGTACAGGCATTGGGTAAACATTCCCATTCCAAAAGGGAGAAATTGTCCCAAAGGAAAAGGTAACAGGCCCAACGCAAGTCTGAAACGTATCAGGGCAGTCATTAAATCTTAAAGCTCCAAAATAATCTCCTTTGATTCCATGTCTCACATCCAGGGCACACCAGAGCAAGGGTTAGTGATGTGGTTTGGTTCTCTATCCCTGGTCAAATCTCATGTTCAGTTGTAATCCCTAGTCTTAGATGAGGCCTGGTGGAAGATGACTGGATCATGGGAGTGGATCCCTCATGAATGCTTTAGTACCATCCTCTTGGTACTGTCCTCGTGATAATGAGTGAGTTCTTGTGAGATCTAGTCATTTAAAAGTGTACGACACCTCTCCCCTCTCTTCCTTGCTCTTGCTTTTGCCATGTGATGTGCCTGCTTCTGCTTCACCTTCTGCCATGATTGTAGGCTTCTTGAGGCCTCCCTAGAAGCTGATACCAGAACTGTGCTTCTGGTATAGCCTGCAGAACTGTGAGCCAATTAAACTACTTTTCTTTATAAATTACCCAGTATTAGGTATTTCTTTATAGCAGTGTAAGAACAGACTAATACAGGTGGGCTCCCTTGGGCAGCTCCACCCTGTGGCTTTGCAGCATATAGCTCATGTAGCTGCTCTAACAGGTTGGTGTTCAGTGCCTGTAGCTTTTCGACGCTGAGGTTGAAAAGAGGGATCTTCATGAGGGATCTGCCCCCATGATCCAAACACCTCCCAGTAGGCCCCACCTCCAACACTGAGAACCACAAATGTTCCTTTGGTAACATTTCCCATTCTCATACTCTAGTTGGGGTTACTCCACATGAGATTTGGAGTGAACAAACATCCAAACTATATCAACTCCCTTCACCTGGTCTCAGGATCTGCTTCTAGAAGAACCCAACCTATGACAAGGTCCAATCCCTTCTCCTTTCCTTAGTGAAAGGGATGGACAAGATGCTAGCAAGCAGGAAATGGGGGTATTGGTCTCACTAGCGACCTCAGAAAAATCAGAGTTGGAAGGGGCATGAGAAAGTTCCGATTGGATCTAGTCTGACATAAGAAGCCAAAGGAGGAACTGAGAGCGCATGGACTGTTTCAACAGCCATGATTACTCAGTGTCCTGGCAACCAGGACAAAAGCCTGCTGCTCCCAGGCTGCCTCGAAGGGGGCACCAGCTCTGAGCTGTTCCTGGGGGCAGTCACTGGTGGTCATCAGTTCTGCCATGTTCTGAGCTGGAGTGCCATGTCAAGGCTCTAACCATCCAAAATACATCCTCTGCTGTATTCGCCCAGCAAGAGGGCATTTGGGTCCTACCACTCCACATTAGGATGTAGCGCAAACCCCACAGTAGTCCTCCTTCAGCCTCAGCTTCAGCAGGCTCAGCCGGAAGCTTTTCTAATCAGCCTCTGGGTCAGAAGCAGGGCTACTCTGGTGGGAGGCTGTTCTTTAGGCATTTCAGGGTTTACCTTGCAATAGATATTTGAGTGTACAGAGTTTCAAGATTTGTTTTCAGAGTCCTTATTTTAAACTTCTGCTTCACTTCCCCAGTATTATTGGGTGTGTTCTTGGGTTGAGTTTGGAAAACTCTGCTTTTTCTTTCTTTCTTTGTCCTCTGGGTTCCTTTGGTAACATTTCTAGTCCTCATACTCCTCCTCTTTGATAAGGTTTGGATGTGTGTCCCCTCTAAATCTCATGTTGAAATGTGACCCCCAATGTTGGAGATGGGGCCTGGTGGGAGGTGACTGGATCATGGGAACGAATCCCTCATGAGTGAAGCACCATCCCCTTGCTGATGAGTGATTTTTTGCTCAATTAGTTCACATGCAGTGCATGGGCTCCCCATTCTACCATGAGTGGAAGTTTCCTGAGGCCTCACTAGGAGCAGATGCTCACATTATGCTATCTGTAAAGCCTGCAGAATCATGAGCCAATCTGTAAAGCCTGCACCTTTCTGTGAAGCCTGAAGAATCATGAGCCAATTAAACCTCTTTTCTTTAGAAATTATCCAGCCTCAGGTTATTTCTTTAAAACAAAACAAAACAAAACAGGCTAATGCACTCCTCCATCCATCATACCCCATCCTCTTCCACCTCCTCTTTCCTCCTTTTCTTTCTCCACCTCCTATATGCAGGTAGGGGGGTGTTTAGGAGCCTCAGGCTTCCCTTAGAGCAAAAGATCTTAACCACTGTAATGCCATGGAACCCACTGGTGGTCTGATGAAGTCTATGGACCCTTTCTCAGAGTAATGTTTCTTAATGCAGAAAATAAAATACATGGGATTACAGAAGTAAAACATAATTCAGTAATGTTTTATTATACTGATATGTAAAAAACTTCAAAACCCCAATTTGTGAACTAGTACTGCATGTACTTCCTATTAATTAATTTAATAACAACATTTAGTGTGGGTAGGGTTACTCCCATAAAGTTTGAAGTAGTAATGGGCAAAAAAAAAAAAAAAAATTGGTTATCTGCAACAACTATAACTATAAAAATATCCACATGTCTATGGTGACAAAGACCCAGTACTATGAATACTACTCTGGTTTTTTGCTTCCTTTGATAATTGAAGGAAAAGTTAAATTTCAGTTAGTGATGAGTGAAAACAAAGATGTAATTTTTTTTCCCATTCATGTTCATGGAAGGCCTGAATTCTGTCCTTGGGCCATTGGTAAAAATATCTGTCCTAGTGTTTGACGCGTACATCGAGCATTCCTCTGCTTTTTCCATCTTTGCTACCCATCATGAGAGCCATCATCGGTCTGCCTTCATGCTGCACCACAGAACCATGGCTTATCTGAGCAGGTTGCAGGGTTGTTCCCTGAGGTCCCACCAGTAGTGCTCTTGGTCCCGGCAATAGTGCCTGGCCTCAGCCTGTAGCTACAAAAGGGAGTTAAGCATTTGACTACAATGTACTGAGAGATGAAAGATGTAGTATGCTTGTTCTTTAGGATGTCAAAGCAGGCCACCGTCTTAGAATGTAATTCTACTAAAGACGAAGATTGCCCATGAGGAAAACTCAACTCTCGTACTGGTAGACATATGGGCTGACTTGAAATCGACAAATAATTGTATCCCATCCCCATTTGGCTTTATTTCAAGACAGGAGATGAATTCGATATTGAGTGAAACTATTGGCTGAGTGAAAAATAGATGTTCTTGAAGCCAAAAAAGAATATAAAAGGTGGACAAAAGCTGTGAATAGGTCATCACAGAGTGACAAAGGCATTTTATTAGGGGAAAAGGTCATGTGCAGAAAGAAACCCCTGCAGTCCCCGAGATACCATTTATGGAAACAGAATAAATCTCCAAGGATGCCTATAGCAACCCCATGTGTGTGGTAAAGAGAAGCGAAGCAGTTGGTCTGGCTGTGTTCTCACCCACACATCTTTTCATTTTTTATGTATATTCCTGCCCAATTCTCCTTTCTCCCCTTCCTGGGGCTTAGAGCTTCCTGGGACTTATACACTCCATCCTTTTTCACTTATGGCACATTGATGGGCAGAATGCCAAAAGAGAATAAGCTGGGACCTTGCCCTTGAAGAGGGTAATGGAAAGGAAACGATTGGGGTTCAAATCCTAAATCCTTCACCTCTTATCTGGGGACTTTAAGTGAGCCATAAACCCTGCTGAATCTCACTTTTTTTTTTTTTTTTAACCTGAAAAGATGAGAATAAAGCAACCATTTACTTCAGAGTGTCATATGAGGATTAACCTTTCCATTCTTATCCCTCTGACATACCTGAAGTGGAAAGGACACAGGTTTTGAAGTGTGGCAGGCGTGGGCTTGTCACCTAATCTCTCTGAACATCAGTTTCTTTGGCTGCAGAATGGGGGTAATGATATCCACATTGTAGATTTGTTGTGGGGTTTAAATGCAGTAAAGAATTTACCAACCAATACCCTGACGTGGAACAGGCACTCAGGAATTAAAATGAAAGAATGAATGTGTTTATTGTTTAGGCACCTGCTAAGCTACTGTGCTTTGCTATAACTAGGTCCAGACAGGTTTTAAGAGGTACAGACTGGAGATCCACCTGCTGACAACCCACCGTCCCACACTTCCTATTTTAAGGCTCAGCTTGTGCTGCCAGGCGCCTCACATTTGGTTTGGAACATTTTGGGCCATCAGAACTAGAAACAGGTGTGCCCGTTCACCTGCCGGGGTCACTGGTAGAGGCAGAGACTGCAGTGGGCTTGGGAGACATGGACTCCCTGCATTCCTGTTGCAGCTGGGCCACTTCCTGCTGGTGACCTTGTGAGAGTTTCCTCATCTGTAAAAGGGGCAGCAATTCCTACTTTGCAGAGGTGTGGCGTGAGGTGATAAGCTTTGCAGATGAATAACATAAGGTGATGAAGCAGCAGGGACCCAGCAGGCACTCAATCCTGCAGCTGTCAGCAATTCTCAGAGGGTCTCTGTAGGACCCTGTGTACATGGGACCAAGCTCTCCTTCTGTCCTGCCTTTCCCGCAGCCAACTGTACTTATATTCAGAGAGACCCACAGCTCTGCCCAACCATTAGAAATGGATTCCTGGCTGGGTGCGGTGGCTCACACCTGTAATCCCAGCACTTTGGGAGGCTGGGGCGGGTGGATCACTTGAGGTCAGGAGATCGAGACCGTCCTGGCAAACATGGTGAAACCCCATCTCTACTACAAATACAAAAGTTAGCCGGGCATGATGGCAGGTGCCTGTAGTCCCAGCTACTCAGGAGGCTGAGGCAGGAGAATCTCTGGGACTCAGGAGGTGGAGGTTGCAGTGAGCTGAGATGTTGCCACTGCACTCCAGCCTGGGCAACAGAGCAAGACTCTGTCTCAAAAAATAAAAATAAAAAAAGATTTCTAAAAATTGTTAGTTTTTATTTATTTTTAAGAGACCAGGTCTCACTCTCAGCCAGACGGTGGCCACACTGTGGCATACAGCAGATCCACAACGAATATGAGACCCTTCCCTTCCCTCTCTCCCTGTTCAGTGCCGGGGGCTTGGCCACAGACACAGAGGAATTCTCCTTGCTGAAACCGAACACCCTCATGAGGAGATCTACTTTCTGGGATGCTTCTTACCCTTCCTCCCCTTGTCGGTCCGACACCGATCCCTGGGGCCAGCACACCTCATCGCTTGTCTGTTTGTTTTTCTAGACCCCTGACTCCAAACCGTGGGTACCCCACTACCTCTCTGTTTTTGTTGTTTAACTCACACTGTGTTATGTTTGGTTATTTAGTTGTTTATTGCTGCTTAACAAACCACCCCAGAACATAGTGACTGAAGACAACTGTGTTTATTATTTCTCAAGGTTCTGTGGGTCAGGAATCAGGGCAGAGTGGATGGAGCTGGCTCATCTCTGTCCCATGTGACATCTCCTGGGACTGGGACAAGTTAGACAGCTTCTTCACTTTTCTGCACCTTGGCTGAGAGGGCTGGCAGGCTGAGCTTAGCCAGGACACGGTGTCTCTTTGTGTAATCTCCCGTGGCCACTCCACATGGGTTCTCCTTATAGCCTCTATAGCAAGGTGGCCAGACTTTATGCATAGAGGCTCAGGACTCCCAAATCACAAGAGCAGAAGCTCTTAGGTCTCCTTGAGACTGAGGCCTGGAAGGAGCATCTGTTCAGTTGCAGTCTGTTGGTGAGGTCAAGTCACAGGGCAGCTCAGACACAAGGTAGAAAGGGAAAGGTCTAAACAAGGGCGCGAATATGGGCGTGGTGGCTCATAGAGGCCACTTTTGGATACCAGCCACCACCTTCCTGTGTTCTTCAGTGATGACAATAGCTGAGAACAAAGCTGCTGTGCCTATAGCTAACCCACACGAAAACTTTCTCAAGAGTTTCCTCAGTGAACTTCATTGATAAACTTGTGCTAGCCCCAGCTGCCCCTGAAACCCCTGATTAATGACTGTCACAGGCTGAGAGCCAGCAGCAGTGGAAGACATGATGATCAATAGTCTCTGATTCCATTCAAGCCCTGTTAGAGCCTCCTCTGCCCGCCTGACAGAGTCGAGATAGGCCTTCCGGATGGCTGGAGAGCAGGAGGGCAGTGAATTACCAGGACAAGTCAATAACAAATTGTTTCTTTTTTCCTGTTAATAAAGCCGGTTCCTGATAAACACAGGGGCTGCTCTGATAACAGAACTCTGCTGTCCTGCTTTTCCTCATTGTGGCCCAGGGCCAGCTGCTTAGGATTTCTGCATGCATGGCAGAATGTTGAGATTCAGCAAATGAAAGGCCTGTGTCGCCTGCGTAATCTGTCCTTTTGAGAGGAGTGGCAGGAGGAGGGGCCTTGGGAAAATGTGGGACAGGCTGAGGGTGTGACCTGTAAGCAGGAGTGGGAGGAGGTTGCGCACAGCCTGTGTCCCCAGTGCAGCGTTCCCAGACTGTGTTCTGGAATCACCAACTCCAAAGGATGAGACGATGTGCTCCTCCAGAGAAAGGAGTCCATGAACAATAAACTTAGGAAAAGCACATTTCCTCAGGCTTTTCTTAGAGTGTATCAGCTCCTCTGCATGCCACCAAAGGGTCTGAGAAGGCCTGCAGCTAGGGAACATGTCTAACTCTGTTCAAGCAAGTATTTCTAAACTTAAGGATAGGCCCTGCTTTTTTTCTCTAGGACAAGATTAAAGCCAAGTGTTCTGAGGAGCACACTTTGCAAGGGCTGCCTTAGGAAAAGCCAGGGACACCAAGTGTGGTCATCTGACCCAGAAGGGAAGAGCAGGGCTCTGAACAGGACCTGAACAGGAGCTAAGCCATGGGTGAGCAGCAAGGCCTGAATGGATAGGTGGTGAAAGTGGGAGACAAGAACCAGGATATATTACAAAAACTGACCAGGAACTCCTATGGCTTACCTTCCTATCTGCCAGGGTGTTCAGCCTGGCTTTGAGTGCAGAGTTATTTCGAGCAGGCTATGTTGTCCCCAATGTGTAAGGGTCTGGGGATGGCGGGTTTATTTACCCTGACTTCCAAGCTTCAAGTGGCCGTGCATAACCCCCTTCTTTCCCCTGCCAGGTATGTCAGACAGACTCACAGTTTGCCATGTAAGATCTGATACATATTGCAAACGGCACAACTGCCTATACTGTGTCAAATTTATGAAGCATTGCATTGAAAATTGGGTATTGTTGGCATCAGATAGGGAAGAGAAAAAAGGAAGTAGGAGAGGATTAATGAGAGAAAGAGAAAATGATTACTCCACTTTTCCAAATCTCTTGCTGGAATGAGTTTAACATATATATTTAATGCGATTTTTTCTTTTCTTATTAAAAAAACTAACCACATATATATAAAATTAAGAGGTTCCTGAAACGAAGAAGAAAGCTCACTGTTTTAATTGCATCTTTTAAAAGATCCTGAGACGTTTCCATCTGCAAATGTGATGTAATAATGCTTTTACTGCTTACCTTTTGCTGAGATGTTCAAATAAAAATTTGAGTGTGAAAGTGCTTTGAAAACTGCACAGTGCTGCACACATGTAGGATATCATTATCCTATGTTTGCTACTAATGCCCTTGTTATGGATTGAATATTTGTGTCCCTACCTCTCCACCACTTCACATGTTGAGGCCCTGCCTCCCAGTGTGACTATATTTGGAGATAGGACCTTCAAAAAGGTAATTAAGGTCAAATAAGGTCATAAGGTGGGTCCCTAATCCAATAGAGTTGATGTCCTTATAAGAAGAGGAAGATACACCAGAGCTCTATTACTCTCTGTCTCCGCCATGTGGGGATACAGTGAGAAGGTGGTTGTTTGCAGGCCAGGAAGAGAGCCCTCACTAGGAACTGAATCAGCTGCCACCCTGATCTTGGACTTCCCAGCCTTGGGAACTGTAAGAAATAAATTTCTGTGATTTTTAAACTGCCCAGTCTTTTGTATTTTTTTATGGTAGTCTAAGCTAAGATACCTTTTCAAGATAAAATTTCCTTTTGAACCCTTGCTGGGGTCAATATCCACATCAACGAAGAGAAAACCTTCATTCCAGCAGACTCTGAAAAACCCAGAGGAAGTTGATTGCTGTTTTAAATACCAAGGAGAAATGAGTTGCTTACACACCAGCCCCTTCTTTCAACTGTCTTGTGGCTATTATCCTCCTAGCCTCTGGTTGCAGGCACTTGACTTGTTTTCCACAGATACGTGATGTTGCATGAGAACTAAGGCATTATGTAACCTGCTTTTCATCCCCACAAATGAGGAAGGGGTAGATGTAAGGCCCAAGGTAGCTTCATGTGAATAGTGACTCAGCTAAAGAACAGTTTTTACCAAGGTCCTCTCAATGGCTATTGTTAAGGTCATCTGCTGAGGCCCTAGGATGATAGTTCTGTTAACGATTACTATGATTGGACCTGGTTGCTCACACCTGTAATCCTAGCACTTTGGGAGGCTGAGGCAGAAGGATCATGTGAGTCCAGGAACAGGCTGGGCAATGTAACAAAACTTCATCTATACAAAAAAGTTAAAAAAGGAAAAATATTAACCGAGCATGGTGGAAAGCTGTAGGACCTGTAGTCCTAGCTACTTAAGAGGCTGAAGCGGGAAGATTGCCTGAGCCTGGGAGTTTGTGGTTACAATGAGCTATGATTGCATCACTGTGCTCAGCTGAGGCCACAGAGTGAGACTCAGTCTCCAAAAAAAAGTTACTATAAATAGTTATTTTTTGCACATCTACTGTATGCCTGATAAAGTGCTAGACACTTTTAAATATTCTATTTCATTTAATTAAAGGTAATTAGACCTTTTCTGGCATTACCATTTATGAAGTAGATTTACCTAAATAATCGAATCTAAGTTTTGCACTCAATAACTGTGTACGTCAGCATCTGACTTCCTAGTTAAATGTTCCCATGTTATAGGCACTGTTTTTCCTCAGGGATTGAAACAATTTTGTGATGGCATGCAGTGGCAAAACTGGATTTAGACACAGGGTCTCTCTGATTCTGGAGTGAATTCAAGTGTCTACTCATTCATTCATCAGAAGCCATGTGCTATGTTTCTGCCACTGAGCTAGACACCGGGACTATAGAGAGTTCATGAACACAGGCCTCAATAGGAATATACATTTTTTAACGTAAAATTTCTACTTTTCATAGTAGTAGACAGGATAAAGGAAAAGGGTACTGGTACTGCCATGCTTACATGACAGGCATTACAAACATATGTAAGTAGTTTCAGGCTCATTCTTCCCAAAGGCAACCATTTCTAACCCCTTTAGCTCTATCTTCTGGTATTTATCATAATATGTTTATCTTCATATTTATCATAATATGTTTATCTTCATATTTGTTTGTATTTATGTTATTGTTAAGTATCACACAAATGCAGAAAACTACAAAAAAAAAATGTGCAGCATAATGAACTAGAAGAGGATTGCCCTTGTACATACCTCGCTGGTCGGGAGGTAGAAACTGAAGTCACCCCAGATGCTTTCCATATGCACCTCTCAATCACAGCCGCATACTTCCCCCCAAACTATCCAGGAGCCTGTTATGGTCCTCCCTCCTTTATTTTTCTTTATAGTTTATCACCCAACTGTTTATTTGTGAAGGTGGTATATTTTAAAGTCTCTTATAATCCATAGGTTCCTGTTATGTGCTGAGCTGTGTCACCTTAAATTCATATGTTGAAGCCCTAACCTTGAATACCTCAGAATATGACTGCATATGAACAGGGACCTGAAAAAGTTAATTAAGTTAAAATGAGTTTATTAGAGTGGGCTAAAATCCAGTATGACTGGGATTATAAGAAGAGGAGGTTAGGCCACAGACATGTACAGAGGGAAGACCACATGAAGACACAGGGAGAGGAGGTCCATCTACGAGCCAGGGAGAGAGGACTTTGGGGAAACCAATCCTGCCAACATTTTGATCTTGAATTTCTAGCATTCACAGCTGTGAGGAAATACATTTCCATTGTTTAAGCCACCCAGCCTGTGGTACTTGGCAGCCTGAGCAAACTTGTACCACCATTTTCCATCTTTTTTATTTTATTGTAATTTATTTTGGAAGAGTCTAGGTTGTCACATTGAATTTCTCGCAGTCTGGTTTTTGCTGACTGATTCCTGTAAATTAATATTTGCATCTAGAACTTAATCATATTTAAGTAGGTTTATTTTGGGAGGGAGGAGGCAAAACTATTTCACAGATAATGGTGTGTTCTTTCACCAAAAGGCACATAATGTTCTCTTGTCTCTCTTTTTGTCCTGTTAGCAGCCATTAATTCTCAATGCCTATTTATTAGAGATTATAAGATGGTGATATTTTGATTTCATCTTTCTTTTTATTTGTTGAAATGTTCATATATAGAGAATTTTTGTCATATAGTTAGTTTCCTGGGGTGCAGTTTGTTTAAAAAAAAAAAAGAGTGAAGCAAATACTCCATTCCGTTTATTTAGTAATTTTCAAATTAAAGAGTTGGTTCTAAAGAATCCTCTAAAGATAATTTTAGGGAGATGAGGATATCAGGGTAAAGTTATGGATTTAAGAATGTTTCATTTTACCACATTTATTTTTCTTACTGATGCTCAGATTGTCCAATCTTTGGCCAGGGAGAATCTCTTCTACTTAGCTCCTGTGTCTTTGATATCACTTGGTACAGAAAAATTCTCTCTGGTACCAACATTTTTCAGACTCATTGTGAACATTTTCTTATGCAGATCTGGAATCATCCATTTCCCAAAGATGTCCTGGTTTGTTTTTGTTTTTAGTGAGAAACAATAGATTGGCATTGTTTCTAGGCCTTTTTACTGTATAGAACTAGGACACACACACACACACACACACACACACACACACACACGAGTTCATACCAATACCTCCTCCCCTAACTCAAATTTAGAACTACAGGGTGCTTATGTAACCATATTTATATTATATATGCATCTCCTTTTTTCCACATAGAAAATTCTGGTTCTCAAGGCTCCCCTACCCCACCCAGGGATGAATAGAATTGGAATATCACATCATTACTTATTTTTCTATCCTACATTCACACAAAACATTCTTAAAGTAGCAATGCCAACATCACCATCAACATAATTATTAAAAGCAGGGTTTTTAAAATTTCATATGCTCTTCTCATTCTCTCCTTTTTTCATTGTACTATGTCTATGTTGTCAGAGCAAACACCACATTTGCTATGTTCTCTTCTTTATTTCCTCATTTAGTCTCATTATCCATGCAAACACATTTAATGCTCATGATGAGTCTTTATGTCAGTATCTAGTCAGTCATTTTAGTTACTCAGATCTCATTTGATTAAATTTTAAATATTTAGGGAAGAGCTCAAGAGAATGATATTCTTTTTGTTATTGTATGTGAAGTAAGTTTGTCTTCACTCTATACACTTGAAATTTAATTTTGCTGAATATAAAATCTTTGCTTTATATTGTTTTCTTTTTCCCTGGAGAATTTCAAATATGTTACTCCACTTACTTTTGGAACTCAGTATTTATTTCAAAATTTTTTATGATAACATTATTTTCTTACCCTTATAATTAACTTGATGTGTGTTTGTTTTTCTTGGATTACCAAAGCATGCCTGGTTATGGCCATTCTGGGCTGATTTTCTCAAGTAAATGCTGTGCTCTTTCAATGTGCAGTTTTGAGTGTGTGTATATTTAATTTCAAGCACATCTTGAATTGTAATTTTTAGTATTTGTTCTGTTTCCTCATTTATTTGAACTTTTGGTCTTTGATGTCTCCCATTATACCTATGTTGGATCTTCACTGGCTGTTTTCTAAATTTGTTTCTTTATCTATAATTCCTTTCGTTAATTTTTTTTCACAATCCCTTATGTTTAATCTTATTTTTCTGTCAAAGCATTATCTGTTGTGTTTATTCATTCTTATGTTGCCTCTTGTTTTGCCTTCATTTCTAAAAGCAATTTTTAAATGTCTCTTTTTTCTGAGTTCTATTTTCTCATTTCCTGTTTTTTCTAATTCTGAATTATATTCTTTCATCTCTTATATAATTTTTAACATTAGCCCATTTTGTGATAGTAAGTTATAATTTTTATCCATTTTGCAGATTTGGCTTTCTGGTGTGCTTTCATTATCTTTAGGGATGCTCTTTATTTTTTCAATAACTTTGCAGAGCATTTGGTCTTCATCTATTCTAATGATTATTTTTTAATGTGAAATTAGTTTTATTAAACTATAATAATGACAATATTAAACCTATTAATATGATTATATATTATATTAATATAATTAATA